AAATTACTAGTATTTGGGATTTGGGATTTGGGATTTCAGCAAAAAATACTAATCATAATTTAGGATTTGGGATTTGGGATTTCGGCATTTGGGATTTCGGCATTTGGGATTTCGGCATTTGGATTTTGAATTTGGGTGGCAGGTATAATTTATTACACCTTTTTTTAAATAGATTTCTGATTTCTGTCTTATATATTTACTGATCCCATGTCTTCTTTTAAAAATAAATAACAGGTTATTATTGAAGCTTAACAAATTACTATATATAAAAAGAAACATGAAAATTCAGGAGAATATTTAAAAATGGATAGAGCAAGATTTGGTTTAAAGTAAATCAATTAACAATATTACAAATATTAAAGTAACCAGCTGAATTTCTTGAGAAAGTAAATGTAAAGAAATAAATATACTATTATTATGTGTATATATGTTGTTAACAATTTATTAATAAATTCTATTTCATTTTCTTTTAGTATGAAAAATTTAAATTGAAAAAGAATTAAACCTGTAAAATATCCTTACTTAGACAATGTATTATATAAATGGTTTCTATTAAATTAAGAAAAAGTTTCAATTAGTGATGATATGATTAAGGAAAAGGTTCAATTTTTTTTAACACAATTGTATTCTAATAAAATAATGTTTTTTTCTAATGGTTTGTTAGAAAGTTTTAAAAATTGTTACAAAATTAAATCCTATACTAAGTATGGAGAAAGTAGATCTGCAGATTTAGATGGTATTGCTGAAGTCTTATCTTTCCTCCATTAGCTTCTTGATTAATATGAATAAAAAGACATTTACAATATGGATGAAACTGAATTATTCTACTATATTCTTGCAAATAAATCCCTTGTAACTAAACAATTGGAAGGAACAAAAAAAAGCAAAAAAAAATTAACTCTTGTAGTCTATACTAATAGTGATGGCTCTCATAAGTTGTCATGTTGAATAATTGGAAAATATCAAAAATCAAAATGTTTTAAAGAAATAAATATAAAACTTTTAGATATTCAATATCAATGGAATTCAAAAGTTTGAATAACTGAAACAATGTATGTTGAATATGTTAAATGGTTTGATCAGCAAATACATAAGCAAAAGGTACTTCTTTTGATGAATAATTGTTTAGCACATGTAAAAAAAAAGATACAACTTATGTAATATAAGAATTCATTTTCTTCTATCAAATATTACATCAAAAATATAACCCTGTGATGCAGGTATTATTAGAAATCTTAAAGTTTATTATAGAAAACTTTTTCATTAACCAATATTTCAAAATATCAAAGTAAATAAGATAGAACTTGAAAGAATTGATATATTACAAGCAATTCACTTTATTATTTCTGCATAGAATAATGATGTAAGTGTTAAAACAATCTATTATTGTTTTCTTCACTGTGAAATTTATACACAAACAGAAGATGATTCAGATGTTAATAATGATCTAATAGAAATTCCAGAGGATATAAATGATCTTACAAATCAAATAAATAAACTTAGATATAGAAATCCAATGGATATCCAAAGAGTTTCTTAATCAATCAGATGAAAATGAAATTGCAGAAATTCTAACAGATGATGATATTATTGAAATAGTAAAAGAAAATATGAAAGAAAATAATGAAAGTGATAAATTAAATAATGAATTTAATGATGAATTTAATGATGATGATACTATTGAAAGATCAAAGATTATAAATAATGAAGCAACTAATATATTAAATTCTTTAAAACTTTTTTTTCTTCAACAAGATGAAGATTGTAATCAAATTCTTAAATATATTGAAATTCAAAAAAGAAAAGTATTTTCTATTAAACAAAAAAATATGATACAATCATCAATTAATAAATATTTTATACATTAGATTTAGATAATAGTTTAAATAATAATTTGAATAAATTGAATAATTCTGATTATTTTGATGAATTAAATAATTTTAGTGATGATTTGTATGAATAATTTAGATTATTCATTTGAAAAATATTAATTTGACTTTTATTGTTAATAAAAAAATAATTTTTTTACATCAATTTTTTATTTGTGACATCATTAATTAACATAAGCATACCTGCTTATAAGCATAGGATTTTGCTGGCCCAACACCCTGCTTATATACAGGTTCAACTGTATGTGATTAGGTAAAGCTTAATTCCGAAGTGGTAGAAGGCCATTATTTTCAAATTCAAAGTTGATATCAGAGGTGGGAACAATGATTTCAGAAGGGAGAGATAATTTCAGAGGTAGGTGTATTATTTTTGCTATAAATATCAATGATCCATGGTAGGTGCACTTATATCAGACATCTTTTGTTAATTATCCATACAAAAAAAAAGTTCAAAATGAAAATTAACCCCTTAATTTATAGGCCTGAAGGCTGGAAGTTCCCCACCGTATACCTTGTAAAGAATTACTTCCTCTACATATAGTATATGTGAGAAATATGCAGGTAAGCATCGAAATGTGGAACATTATTATCAAAAAGCTTGCCAGGATGATGTTGGGAAAAAGATAACACTTAGTCCCATGAAAAATAATGGGCTGCGAAAAAATCAAATAAGATCAGCTTTTTCACATTTTCTGATTTCTAGAATAATTTCTAGATATGTGTCCCTGTTGTCTCAACTTTTTCACTTTTTACATACTGTATACTCATAGGTGAGTTTCCTTAGATTCGTATTTTCATAGGTAAATAGGGACAAGTATAAAGGAACATAATTAATTAGCCTAAAATCTGGCCTTATGGGTGTCCTGTAAAAATTTTTGTTAGGACCAACTAGGAACAAAGTAAGTCGATATACTTCACTATAAAACATGAGCAAGTTCATTTGATGTCATTTTCGATAAAACTTTATTTTATTTTTTATCTATCAGAGCCGATGCGATCACAAGGCTCATTACAACATAAAAAATATTACTGCATGTTTGACCCAAGAAAAGCAAAAACTATTACAAAGTTTCCTGCAACAATCTTCTTTTTTCTGGTGGACATTTCAAAGCCCCGCACTCCGCGCGAGAGTCTCGATAGCCATATGAACAGGTATCACCAGTAGGACTACATTCATAAACATCGGTACATACACATCCTGAAAAGAAACAACAAAAAGCAAAATGACACGAATTTCTATTACTTACCAATGGAATCGCCACAGTATTGACCTTGTGGAAGTCCTACAGGACGTTGATATGTGGTAGGGACACAATCAGAAGAAACGACAGAAACGAAGATTAAGAAAAACAAAGAAAATACAAGATATTTAGAACTCATTTTGAATTAAAACCGAAAAAAAAAATAACAGTTAAATAAGCTCAGAAGAAAATATGATTATATAGAAATACATACTTTTGAAATAAAAAAATTTTGTGGGTTAAACTATCTATCAAATATCATATCGACAGCATATATATAAACAAATTTGAAAAATGGCGTGCAAAAGAAATATAAAAAAAAAAAGTTTATTCAATTGTTAAAAATAAAATAATTTACGAAAATAGATGTTATCAAAAATTACCGCCTGAATATCTAACATTCTGCAGCACACAACACATGACAGAAACAAATACCAAACATATGATCATCAGCATATTCATATTAATAGAAGGAATATGTGGAGAAGACCATGTAGTATTATGAAATTATACCTGCCGACACTGACTATGTATCATTATTGCTATTTTTGAATAATCAAAAAATTAAAATAGTCTAACTAAAATAATCTATTCTATTTCTTACACCTTTACCTTAGAAAGTTGTATAATTTTTTAGTCCAATAATTTTCTCATTTATTATTTAAAATAATCATTCTGAACTTCTAAGTCTAATATTAAATTTTTTTTTTTTCATTTTAATACTTGAAGAGAACTTGTAATGAACTGAAAGTGTAACTGATGTAATCCTGAAATGTAAACCAATTTCTTGGTCCGTCCGTCTGATGTCAGAATAAAAATACACAAGGGCCTTTTATAGATGCAATAAAATCACAAATTGATTGGTTCTACTTTTAAGATTGTATTCTTGTGCCTCCATACTGTATTCACTGTAGTTTGAACTTTTGATTTTTTTTTTTTTTTTTTTTTTTTTTGACAAAAGCTATCAAATATGTTGCAGCAATATTTTAAAGGGTTAAAAAATAAAATAACACCTCAAAAGGCTCAACCTACTCATGCTGAACAATTAGCAAAATTTCGTAAGTCATGGAATTATATAGAGGTAAAGATTTACCACCTTAGTTGACTTATTTTTCTTATTTTTATACACCGGACTGACTATAAATCGTAAATTATTAAAAGTCGCAATTTGATGAAAATGAAAGAAAACAACCGCTTCCTAGTCACAACAATCAAACAGAAATTCCTCACCACCTTAAACAAATGGTTGACCTTCTTGTCGATGAAGGTTTAAGACTTGAAGATGTAAATACTGGTCTTTGTATGGAGGAATTTTTAAGAAATAACGTTCTAACAAAGTTAGTTAAGTATGCCAAAGATGATGTTCCAAAAGGTATTCGTGGTGATATTATCAGAACTTTTTGGTTCTATGATCAATCTATTAGATGATCGATTTTTGGTTCACAACGCCGTTCATCAACCGACCGTTGCCCTTTTGCGAATGTGTGTTCACGATTATCAGGGCGATAGATATGATGAAGACCTGGTTGATTTAATGTATTACATTTGTTCAAAGATTCATGCATTTCATGAACTTTTACATATCTTTTTCCATGATACTCATTGGCTTACTACCCCTCAAAAGACTTATTTAAAAAAAGAATCCGAATATCAAACAAATTTTTCAAATAATAGTCAAGATGGTAATCTGGAAGAAGATTCTCCATCAGACAATAATACAAAATCAACTGAGGCTACAAAAACAACAGAATTTACTGAAGAACCTGAAAAACCAGAATATGAATTTTTGCTTTTCTCATATTTACTTCAATTCCTTCATAGAGAAGGTAAAAGTGGTGAATATGCCAGATATGGTTTACTCTTCATTATTGAACTTGCGGTTGCTGAAGGTCCTTTAAGTAAATTCATTCTTGAAAGTGATTTTGCAACAATTATGGCAGCTGGATTAGGGGCACTTTATTCACAATTACCACGAAAATTAATGGTTAAAAGTTCAAGTGGTGGATTAACAAATGCAACCCTTCTTGGTTTCGGTGATAACACAAGTGCTGAACTCTCAAGATTACGTAATAGTGGAATCGAGGTGTCTTCTTCATTGATATTTAAAAGTCAACTTGATTCATTTTTAAAGTTATTGGAATTTTGTCAAGACGTATTAAATATTTGTCATAGTAATATTTCAAAAGCATTACTTGGAAATGTTAAAACTTTTTTCCTTGAAAGTATTCTTTATCCATCAATCTTAGAATGTTCAGATCACGATGGTTCAGCTGTTGCTGTCATTTCATATATTGATATTATTATGCAAACATTAAATCAAAAAGATTTAGTTGATGTAATTGTGGGATTTTTAATGGATTCGGATGGTGACAATGATGAATTTTGGGAGAAATCTACTGCGCCAACTGCATCCACTGCACCTACCTCCAAAATTACAAAACGTCAAACTATAAATTTATTCGAAGGTATTGATGCCAGTCCCATAAAATCTTCTCCTTATTTTACAGCTGAAGGACGCTTTACTTTAAAGGATCTTATATTTTCACGTTTACGTTCTTCTTCACAACAAACTGTCATCGCAACTTTGAAATTACTTAATACTGTCATTTCTAAACATTGTCGATTCTCATTAAAATTATTAAATGTTGAATGGGATGATAACGCGACATGTTTTCCGAGACCAAATTATTTATTGGATGATTTTTGTAATAATGATTCACACGCTAGTTTCGCACAACCTAATAAAAGGACAACAATTAGTCATCATTTGAGAGAATTAGATCTTTTCTTTTCTTTAATTTCTGCAATAGATCCAACACAAAATATGGAGATTTTTACTAATGGATACGAGTCATATGTTCGTGATGCAGAATTGATTATTGAAGCGGATACATGTTATATATGTGGTCAAGATGTAGAATGGACTGAAGAAGGGCCAACCAGACCAAATCCAAACAAATTGAATAAACAACGATTAGCAAAGTGCGGTGTTCGAAGGCATCGTCTCAATCCTACTGATCGTGTAAATCCAAATGAATCACTTTTGCAAATTCTCCTTGGCACTTTGTCAAATTTCTTTGCTCATTCTCCCGAATTAAATTTAACATTGACTGGTGTCCTTTCAGCTTTGGCGGTATGTCCTTATCGTTCTTTAGAAGGTTGGCTTGTATTTAGTGGTACTGATAGATTGGATAGAGATAATAGACGTGATTCATATTTGAGAGATATGGAAAGTCTTCAACATGAAGCAAGAAATTTAGAAATTTCACTCGGTATTGCGAGCCATGATAATCATACAAATGAGGATGGTGAAGACAAACCAATTAATGATTTTGATGGTGACGATGATCGATCCGTTGATTATGACGCCGACAAAAGTCCATCAGCTACCAAGGCAATTGGTGCTACACCAAGATGGATTAATTTCCCGCCCTTTTTCACAATATTTAAAACTTTAACTCAACAAGTTGATTATTATCGAAGTGAAATTGAAGGATTTGACCAATTTCTTCAAGAAAGAAGAAGCGGTTTATTAGATGCAGAGGATGAAATTGATGAAAACTTCTTTAGTCAATCAAAATTTGTATCAAATGCACCCTCCAAAAGAGGAGCTACTAGTAATCATAGTCCTTCCCCAAGAAGTCGTAGAAGTACTTCATCTGCTTCTTCATCAAAACCCCAAGTTCCTAAAAGAGCAAATTCATTATCACGATCAAATTCGACATCATCTAGTTCACCACTATCATTTAAATCTTCAGCTATATCATCATCTAATATAGTTACACCACTCTCAACACATTTCTCCAAGACTGAAAACATTAAGATTCAACCTCTTTTCCCAGCGCATTTCATAAATGAAGATGAAGAGGAAGATTCAACTGCAATGCTTGATGATGATGATGACGACTTTGCTAAAAAACAAACTAGAACCAAACCAAAGGATCCAAAACCTAAGGAAATCACATTGAGTACGCTTCTCAACAATGTAGTTATTTTAGAGGAAGCAGTAAAGGAATTGGTTGCCATAGTACAAGTTAGAAGAAGTCTGGGAATTGATGAAGTTAGATATTTATAATATTATAATATTTTGTGTATTTGATTTTTCCACATTTTCCATATTTTCCCGATTGTTTTATATTTTCATATTTTCACGCAATTTTGGTCATGTGTAATATTTTATATTCATTTATTTATTATAATTATTTTTTAATTATTATATTTATTAAAATAAAAATATATAATGAAAATTTTTTAATAATTAATAAATTAATTTTTAATATTCACAAAATTCACACAACATTCACAATAACAACAATAACAACAACAATTACACAATAATCATGTTTAATACATCTTTTAAAACATCTTCATTATAAACAGGTTTTCCATTTTTAATATCACCTTTCGTTTCAATACATTCTATTCCCAATTTTTCAATTTCCAATATATCAACATTAATTTGAGAATTATCCAAGAAAATCATATGACTAATATATTTATTCGCCTGATATTCATTTGACCATAATCCACTTGATTTTAAAGATGAATTACAACCATTAATAATTGCTTTTGCAAAATCCGATGCTATATATCCATCCGTTTCAAGATCATTATATCCATTAAGTATTAAAATTTTTCGTTTTAAAGTTGTTGATTCAATAATAGCTTTCCCTACACCTTTTAAAACGAGACATGGCATAATAGATGTATAAAGTGATCCAATTGAATATATGAGTGTCGATTTAGTACAAAAACTTGTTGCAACTTTGGGATTTACTGAAGGAAGAGGAATCATTTCTTGACCATAATCATTAATATAATAAATTCGTTTAATTCTACGAGCCAATAATTTTATTTCGGATTTGTCAAATAAAAGATTACTTTGATTATTAACAGGGCCATATGAATCACCTGAATTTTCCAATTTGAACCTTGAATTTTCTTTTTGTTGAGATGAAGGATGAGAAATTTCACATTGACCTAAAATAATTTTTCCATTTTCAAGTTCTGCAGCTATAGAAACATTTTGATTCGTATTTATTATTGGAATCACTTTGGTCGATTCATTAATACCAGTTATTACAGAAAAAATAAAAATTGCACTTTCTAATGATCCAAAAAAAATTCTAGCTCCAGTGAGAAAAAAATTACCAATGCTTCCATTACGAAAATTAAATTTCTTTTGTGCTCCCTTAAGAATTTCTGTTTGTAGATTCACCAAAAAACCACGTATGATTCCTTTTTTCTCCGAAGAAATACCATTCCATAATCTTGAAATAAATTTGAAATGAATTTCGTTAAAGAATTTGAAAAAAAAAATAAAAAAATATGTATAAATATATAAAAATTATTTACATACTTATGAGTACCCTCAACTACTTCTAACCATTCAAGTTTAATGTCCAATTCATTCCCTTCTATTGGTAATCGATAGCTGAGCAAATTTCTTAAAGCTATTCTCTCATAATCATTTTCTTCAATTTTGATTAATCTAACAAGTCTACTTCTAATATCACCAATTCCCGGTCCTCCCAAAACACGTAAAATCTCACTAGTTGAGCCACCATTATCACTTAAACCAAGTATATAGCTTACGTTAGGAGTCAAACTTTGTAAGACATCTACCTTAGTAAAATACCCAATCGTGTTAATCTAGGTAAAAGTTTTTATGTATAATTTAGAAGAAAATATATATTATTCTTACAGACCATTGAATTACAGGCAGTTCCACCTGATATCACGACTAGCGAAGGTGCAATACTTGAGTTTTCATAGTCTTTTGTTACGATCGATATTGATTTTGTCATTTCAAACTACAAAAAATGTATCGTGTGTCGCGGCCATAGTACCCCCTGATTTTCAATAAATAATATGTATTACTATACAATTTTATTATCATTATCAACCCTCTATCTTCTATCTTCTATGTTATTGTACCCGGTATAGAATTTTATCCTGTTCACAGGGGTACAGACTCTTATTCTATGTCCCCTCCGAATTTGATTGATCCATAATTTAACAGGTGACCATAAGGATTACACGTGTTTAATTAGTGTGACAGATTTTAGGTGACAAATATTGGATAAATAACCTACCCTAACCCTAACCCATGCGTTAAGGTAGTTACACGGATAAGAATCTATCCTCCTGAAATAAGTTAAGATTCCGAAAAAAAAAATAACCATAGATCTATCAAAACGAAGTCTTTGCCACGGAAACAGATGTAATTATCACGTGGAAGAGTCCAACGAATGAGAACCGTTTTCTACTAGTCATGCATGTGACATAGCAATTTCGGGCTCAATGTTACAAATGTTACACGTATTGAATGATCCTCTTATAATAATATCACATGTAATCTGGTCGCGTTTACATTTTATGCAATATCTTGTATGTAATATTTGTATTTTACCTTACTCGCGTGCTAAAGTTAGGTATTATTGATAATTTCTGTTTACAATCTGGAAACAGAGTGCAGGGATCAGCCTTGAGTATTTACACCCTTGCTTCCAAACATCTGATACAGGGATGCGCGCGACTGATAGCATAAAGTAAAATTATATACTTGCCTTGTAAGAAGTATATTGTGTCAGAAATAGGTAACCGAATTTTTTACGCGTATCAGGTAAATATTCTTATATTCTGCATATAACGTGATCATTAATCATTATTAATAAAATTTTCAACAGTGCAAATCATATTTTATTTCTATTTTTTTATAAGTAGCTGATAATGCATAATGATGGCAACACATTGATCAACCGTGCGACCAGGGCTTCCTCAAGATGAAATGCAAACTCACGTGAATTCAAAAATTATTTAACAATAATACAGTAATGTTACTTTTTTATTAAAAAAATTTTTTTTATATTAAGTCTATTTTCTAAATTGTTTTTTTCCACCCAATATTCCTCGGCAATTAGATGCCCCGCAAAGGCATTCCTGTCCTTCGGCCCCGCCGAAGGTGGAAAAATTATAATCATATGTTAATTCTGTCATGGCTGGAATGTTATATGATGCGAATACTCCAATAAAAAGTTCGCCATTTGGTGCTCTCCTACAAATTATTATTGATAAAAGATGAAAATTTTATTAAATATCCACCATCCATGTAAAAGAGATATAATAGGAGTTTTGTTTAATACGTACCATTTTTCGATATGACAATTTGGTGCACAACTGAAAGAAATTTTTTTTTTTAAAAAAAATGCATAAAACCTTGTGAATATTCTTTGAATGGTTCTTTAAATGGTCTTTGAATGATCTTTACCTATGATTAATAAATCTAGCTTCCGTGCCCCGTGTTCCACCATCTACAACTGCTCGGTTCTCGTAATCAAGGAAATAGATGCTCTTTCTGTACTTATATTTAGTTTCCATTCGTTTAAGGGCCGTACTGTGCGAAATCACTTCGCCTCGATATTCTAAGATCAATTGATCTTTTGGAGTCTCCACAAGCGTCCGAAGTCCATATCCACGATTTTCTGTCTATTTAACAAAATTAAATAAATGGTAATAAATGGTAATAAATAGTTTGTTATATTTGTTTGGCCAACATAATAAGAAATATCGTGTATAATAATATTACGTGAATTTACCTTAAACACCTCCAATTCCTTCACACACTCCTTCCTTTGGAATCTTTGATTTGTGCATTGTTCCTCGCAGGGACAATCCTTGGGTGAACATTCATAAAACATCACCCTGAATTAGAATAATAATAAAAATACTTGATATTAATCTTTACACGATAAAATTATTATTTTGTTTTCATAATAAAACATTAACTACGTACCTATTATAACAGTCTTCAGTACACCCCAGCCCACCATTCCGAGGCGGTTTGCAGTCACATATAACTGGCTCTTCATTTTTTCTTTTACGATCCACATATATATCTATAAAATAAAATAAAATTTTATTATTATAGATTTTCGAAAAAAAATACGAAAATAGATAATATTTATTAACTTGTCTGAATCTTTCTATATTCTCTTTGTAGCAGCCCACGTTTGTGAGCAGTTATAATGTCCCAAGTCAAATGAAAATTCCTTTTTTCTTCCATCAAAAATTTGCCGTATTGAACTGGAAGAGGAAATATTTCAGTGATGGAGTTTTCGGATTCCTTTTCTTTACTCCTGGAGCTTCTTCTTCCAACTTTGAGGTCCATTGAATATAAACCACATTTCAAAAATTCTTTACGTTCCCAGGGTAAAGGTTCCTCCTCATTAGTTGGGACATTAAGGACATCATCTTGTGAAGATTCTGATCTAACTATGTCTTCATCATCAACAGCATCGGGATCGGATGACGTTCCATGGCCGTTGCGTTGAGACTATACAAAAAGCCATAGAAATTTAGATTCATGTTTCTTCTGTATACAAATATTTTATAACTTTTATACCTTTCTTCGCCTAGTTACTACATTTAATGTTGATGGTGTACGGTCATCTGATTCAGGCTCTGGATTTTTACGCTTTAAGTAAAAATAAATAAAATTTAAATTGCTTCATTGTTAACATGTTAAATATATCAAATTTACCAGATTTAATAAGTTAGATTCATTACCTTGCGAAGAGTTTCTTTCCTGGGAACTGGTTCATCAATGAACGGTAGTGCAAGGATATTATTCTTATATACACGACCAACTACTTCAGGTGGTCGGTGAACACCTTTTGTTCTTATGCTATATGAAGTCGTTATATTAATAAATTATATTGTGAACTCAAATCATAATTAAGATAGATAAAATTTACTTACAAGATACCACAAGCATTACATAACCAACCACCTTCCGGAATCTCGGGATTCGTTCGCCAGGCGGAAGCATATTTCGTTCTACAATTAGGATTACCACATTCGACATCCCCCGGCGCCTTTACAAGTGGTTTTGATAATTGTCTTATTGATCTTGGCATTTCACTTGGTATATTAATTTTGTCATTAGATTGTTCATTTGGTAGGCCATTATTAGGTTGTTCGTTATGTTTGTTATTATGTTGCTCATTTGTTTGGTCATTATGTTGAGAGTCAGGTTGATCAGTATGCTGTGCATTAGGTTGTTTAGTAGGTTGGGCATTAGTTTGCGCAATAGGTTGTGCATTCTGATGAACATTCAGTTGGGAATTAGGTTGAGAGACAGTAGTCTGAGAAGCAACTCTTCTAGTGGAATAAAATTCTCTTAATTTCCTGACTTTCATTTTACGTGTTTAGTTAAACAAGAAGGTAAATTTACTTCAAAATTTCAAAATTTCTCGGAAAATTTTTAAAAAAATACGCGTAAAATAGATTATAAATTAATCTGCGTTTAATAATAAAAAAAAAAATAGTTATAATAACTTGATAATTATTAAAAACTGAAAAATGGCGAATGATAAATTTTTGAAATTTTGATTTCGAAAAGTTGTATTTCCACACGATGATCATGTGAATGCGTCGATCTTTTTTTTGGTTTTTCTTTGCTTAAATATTTCGCGTTCAAAAACTACACGTATAATAATTATAATAATTATAATAATGATACAAATGTATGCAATAAAATGCAATATATGTAATTTACAGTTTAAAATGAAAATTACATAAATTATCTGAATATTGCATGAATTTAATTTCGTCGCGTCATTCAATTATGTAATAAATTTTTTAAAAATCGGTTAAGTTTATATTCTTTTTCAAATTTTTTTTTTTGTTATTGAAAAATTCTGAAATGCGCGTGTGTATGCATTTAAGTGTTTACAAATTGTTAGAAATGTTATATAATTGTAATTAGAATAATTAAATACATATATAATGAAAGATTATTATTTTCTAATACTGTATTCAAGAAATTCAAGAAATTTTCAAGAAAGAACATTGAAATAATAATTAAATAGGAAAAAAAAATTACACTGGATTTTATGATATAATGCTATAATAATCTCATTTTATGAAAAGTTGAAAATGGAGAAATTATAAAGTTTTGTTTTGACAAAAAAAAAAAAATTTTTTTTAGAACAAATATAAACGCTACAACCATCAAATCTACTTATAAAAAACATCACCACAAAAAAAAAAAAAAAAAAAAAAACAATTGATGATGAAATAATTTATATAAAGTCTAAATTACTACCTAAATTTGATTCAGATAAATTTGATTTCTGTAAATTTGATTTGATTCAATAATTTTGAACAATAATTCTTTAATAATAATATAGTTCTTCTTCGGCTTTTCTAAAAATTATTTAAATTATTTGTTTACTTCTTTACTCCACCTTCGTTCAGTTGCCTCTAATATCTGTCGACGTCTTAATTCGCCTTCATCAACTGGATTAATTTGTGAATAATTATTGCCTGCTAATGATGATGTTGAAACTGTTGATGTGGTTTCATTTTCATTTGAAACGGATGCTTCCTTTTGTTCTTTTTGCCGTTGTTGTTTGAGATATCGTCTTTATTGTAAAAAATTTTTTTATAAAGATATAACATTAAATTACGAAAATATTATGAAAAAATATAGCATAAATCATTTAAATAATTACTCTCTAGCCATTAAGACCATTGCATCCTTTTTCAATTGTAATAATTCTTGTCTTTTCTCGGGTGTAGCTTCCCATTTTTTGGGTGGATCAGCGGGGACAAAGCCTCGATTTACGGCTTCTTGAAGTTTATATTTGTCAATAAGAGACCGTTGAGAATCTGCATCCGTTGAAGTTGATGATGTGGATGTTGAGGAGGATGCTTGAGATGTTGAAGGTACTCCAAGTGTTGAGGTTACCGGAGACGGCGGCTTTATTTATATTTAATATTTAGTTAAATTTTATTTATACAAAATCATTAAATCCTATATATTATGACATTTGTTAAATTTACCAAAGGCAAGTCTCCATTTTGAAGAAGAATGTTATCGCATGTAATTTCTACTGATCCTGTTTTTTGAAGATCGTATTGAATAGCGGCAGGAGGAATATGAGGAAACATTGAGCATACTGTCTCCACCTATAATAAACAAAGTTATCAATGCTGAAAACAACATTTTCAACTTGACCACAAAGAAACATACCATTTCTGGTGTGACAGCTCTAGGTCTATTTCTAGAATTATTAGGTGTTGTTCTACGAGCTCTTGTTGGCTGTTGGGGAGTTGTGCCTGTATGTAATCAGATATTTCAGTTATTATTTTAAGTTTTTGCGATCAAGATCGTCTTTATAAAATTTAATAGTTTTAAAACATGCCTAACAGCCAACGAAAGACACAAAAAATTACGATGATAGCAACAAAAATACTGATGCTATCATTTATATCATTCATGGCCATGCTTGAACGTAGAAGAATTTCATTTACAAACACTGCAATCATTACATTTTTAGATACTGATAAATCAGATAACGTGAAATTATTAATTATTTTTGTAAAAAGTTGCTTTTTTGATATACATATTAGAATAAAACGATCGACGATTTTGTATGTTAATTATTATAATTATAATTGAACTGGATGTATTTTATTATGTATGTACATTATAAAATCATGTAACTGGCATTTATGTGCCTTAAATTTTAAAATAATTTTTTTTAGACAATTCCTATTCAAACAAAGCCACTCCACTCCCGAACCGGTGTGAAACTATTAGATGTTTCCATACACGACTTGGAATAATCGTGAAGAACATCTAGATTGGATTTATCCATTCCAGAAAGTTTTGCATATTGAATTTACAGAGTTTCAAAAAAATTTAAAAGATCATCATTATACTTGGGATTTTTGGTCTTTAATGATGGGCCAACGTTCTTAAAAAGTAAGAACTCTTGACTGATATTATCATAATTAAAAAGGATACCATCTGCCTTACGTGCAGAGGCGCTACTATCGCAGTAAACCATTTCATGACACCATTTAGATGAGGGAACATCATTTTTCATTCCTCTCAAAAAGGTATAGTTAGACTAGTAAGCAATATAGGTTTAAACATTTGTTCTTTTTGTTCGATTTACCATCTGCTGATGAACAACTTCGGAAAGCAAAATTTTAGAATTTCAAAATCGGGAGACACTATTGTTGAGGTGTATTCTCATCCATTAGCAAATCAAGTTTTTTACCATGTCCGGCTTGAGTTTGATTTCTAGTATTCGTTTTATAAAGTCAACCTGTTTTGTATCAAAATCTTCAATAGTTGTTGTTGATCGAATATTTGATATTGTGGTGGTTATTTCACGCTAAATGTGAAATTACCATGTCAGTAAATCAAATAAATAAACAAAAGGTAGACAAATATATTTATTCTTTACAGCATAATTTTCTTGTATCCACTTTTTAAGTCCATCTATCTTAATGTGAAGTGGAGGTTGGGATTATACTTTTATATTGATGATATCCGCTTCTGCCAAACTGTTTAATGAAAGTGATCTGTATGTGAAAGTGATTTACTTTATGATTATTGGAAGAAATGACTGTTATACCTTTTTTTAAATTCATCTTCAGCTAACTCATCTTTTTCTTTGTAATTAGCTTTATTATTTTCTGGAATATTTTTGATATCTTCCGAAAATACCTACAATTCACAGATCTTTAGAACAAATAAAAGTAGATTTCTATCCAATTATTAGGCATCCATACCATCGTGTCAAATCCTCCAACTGATAAAGTGTCCTCGGTATAATTTTTTCTTTTATTACTTATAAGGTTATATCTGAATTCTTTTTTTTTTAATCATAGTCATTATCATCCAACACCTAAATAATAAAAAGGAGGAATGAATTTATTGTGTATGATGAGATAAAACCACAATGGAAGAATACCAAAGTTTGAGGTGGTTCCCTATCTAATGTCTCCAATGAACGTTTCATTTTCTATAATATAATTTATGAATGGTGATAATCAATTGCGAGAAACAAAATGGTAATATTCTCAGTATCACGAATATGGCACAAAATAATGTTATGAAATTTGATCATCCTTGGGAGCTATACTCACCTTTTTTGTCGATGCCAAATGTTGTTCTACGGTTTCTTCAGTCATGTTTTCCATCATATCTTGTGCCTTACTACTCATATTGACATGGCATCGTTTCTATACAAGTATATCATTTAGTAAAAGCTCAAAGAGTTATTCAGCAAAAAGAAAACTTACTGTTCTCAAAGCCTTATTTGATCTAGACATTGCATTTCATTATTGTTATGCTCTAACTCAATTTTGTTCCAGAAGTTATTAACATCTTTATTGTGCAATCGATGATGATTCTATCAAGAAAGGAAATATGTTAATATAAAAGTTTGTGATTTCTGAGATGCTCATGTGAAAAGACATTAGATAGATGGCAACCACAATCGAGACGCGATCCATAAGACAGGCAAGGCGCAGTTGCCCATCGTAATTGTGTGAGTTTTACCCCTTCTCGGGAATACTGGGAGTCTTCCATATGCCTAACATGCTAGATAGCTAATAATTAAAAGAAAACTTGCCTTAAAACAATTCCTCATCGTGCTGGCTTTCATCTTCACGTCTTCTGAACAGTTATTCTCAACAAAGAGTCCAATCTCTTCTGAAGACTTCGCGATTTTTTTGTAAAAGAGAAAATAAAATCATTTTTGCTTTTTGCGATACTGGTAAAAGTCTAAAAATCGATATTTTTCAGGTGGAATTTCATCGAAGTAACCATTGCGTGTATTTCGCGTATTTCCAAAGTTAAATTCCGATTATAATATGTGACTTGAATATTTGCGCTACACAGGGGCCATGATTTTCAGGTAGACGCTATTTTGTACTGTTTACTTATTGAATGATTTTTTTTTTTAACCACCCAGATAAATTTTTGATTGAAAAAGTGAGTTAAATCACATCTATCTTATAAGTATGGATCAGGGGTGACGTCAAGATAATCAGTGAAATAATAACTGTTAATAATATAAAAACTTTATAATAAGATCTTCTACCACAATTTATCAATTTATCCGTGGGGTACTTATGTTTATTCACGTGAATAAATAATTTTCTAAACCAAGACATTTATATTCGCGACTGTTTTTTTTTTTTTAATAATCTCTCATGGATCCATATAGACCAAATCATTATGGTACCTAGTTTTATTGTATGATTCAATTCAGAATGCAAAATAATAAGTTTTATGTGATTTATGTTTAATCACGTCACCTTGATTTCATTCTCAATATTGATCTCGTTATTTTTGATATTATTTTCAAAAGCTCCTTATCGACCCTCCTATGACCGACAGCAATATATTCCACCAGGAGGATCACCGTATGGACCTTCCTCCAGACCTGGTTTTGTTCCAGGAGGACAACCTTCACGACCTGGTTATGTGGCTCCTAGACCTGGGTATGGACAAATGGTACCTACTCAAATAATGACCACCACGACAACAGAAGTAGAAAAATTAACAACACTTTTTATCGGAGGGATTTCACCAGGTGTGACAGATGATTGGATGGAAAAAATACTTAAGGTAATTAAGGTTAAAAATTTATTTTTTTTTTAATTGGGCGAGTTATTGCTATAATGCACCAACTTTTTGTCAACAAGTTTGACGATAATTTTACCAAATCGAAGGATCAAAAGAAATTAGTATCCTTTAAAATTATGGGACACGATTTATGGGGAAAAAAAATTGGATTTCTAAAGAATAATCTGGGCTTTTAGTGGAAGATTTGACGTATATCGGAGGTTTGATTCTGATAAATTGCATTCATTTCTTTACGGACTAAAAATAACTGGTCTCCTCTTGAAAAGCAGGATTCTAAAAACATTTCTTCTGAATATAGCTTTTACGGGATTTAATTTTCAATTTGATCTTAATTATTGCCGAGTGGAACTTTTCAGGTGTGATATTTTTTTATGTACGTTTGCTGACCTCTCATTTCTTGATTTTTTTTTATTTTTTTATTTTTCCTCACTCGCTGCTCCTGATGAATTCAAGACGTGCGGATCATTGAAATCCTGGAAACGAGTTAAAGATCAATCTGGGAATCCCAAAGCGTTTGGATTCGCTGAATATTCGGATGCTGATAGTGTTCTACGAGCATTACGTGTTTTGGGTGGTGAAGGAGCCGGCGACGATAAAAAAGATAAAGGTGTCGTACTACCCGCATTAGAAGAAGGAGCATCTGGCAAAAAATTAATAGTAAGAATTCCTTTTTATTAATAGATTAATAGATATAGATTTATATATTTAAAATTAATTTTTTTGATATTAAAAATTTTTTTTATCTTTTGAAATTTAAAGGTTAAAGCCGATGAAAATACTAGGAAATATCTTGATCAATATGAAGCTTCAAGACCAAGAACTGTGGTTCGTAATAATTTTGTATTATATTAAATAGGGAGATATATATTTATAATATACAAAAAGAATTTACCGTTATTCATTTGCTGCTTTATATAGCACGACTCTGAACTCGATAAAAATGCACTCCTAGCTGTTATAAGTGTGGTGGAAGATATGACCAAACCACCTCAGGAAGTTAAAGAGCAATCATTGTCATCATTAGCAACCTCCCCCCGTGATAATAAATCTGTTAATAGGTCATCGCCTTTACCTGAACAAGCAATTGATCATATAGAAAAAGATGATGATACAGATTTACCCGCGGACCTTCCTCCTGAACAAAAGGATCTTATTTATCGGGAGATAGCATTTTTCAGAGAACGTGCCGCTGCCAGAGAAAGGGAACGGCAGAAAGAAGAAGAAGAACGAGCGACCCGTAGAGCTAAAGCAGAACAAGCGAGAGAACGTTCTTCTCATGGTCGAGAAACTAGAGAACGACAATACGGACATTATCATCAACCTGTTAATTTTGTTCCTGCTAGAGAATCAAGACGTGAATCGTATGTATTAGACGATGAAGAGGAGGAACAAAGAAGACAAGCTAAACGAAAAACGGAAATGGAAATGGCTTTTAAGGAGGTAGTTTTTTTTTCTTTAAAATTAAACCTTACATTTTTTTTCATGTTTCTCATATTTTCATATTTCATAATCTGATCACGATTATTAATTCTATTAATTCTCTTAATTTGTATAGAGGGAAAGACGTTGGCAACATCGAGAAGAGACTATGGCAGCTAATCGTGAACGAGATTCAGAACGTGAAATAGACATGAGAGAAAAACAAATACGTGATAAAGAATTAATGGCACGTAAGTTAGCTGAGTGGGATGATGATACTGAAGCTGAACGAGGGCAAGAAGAATATTATCGGGATCGGTAATTATTTGATTGAACATTATTCTGTTGATTATTATTATAATTTGAGTTTATTTTATTATCGATATTATTATAATAATGTATATACATATATATATATTTATTTATTTATTTATTTATTTAGATCTCGTTGGTGGTTTCATAGACAACAATTTCGAGCACGTGAGATGGCATTAGATGAACAAGATAGAATTCGTGAACAACAAGAAATCGAAGCCGAGCAACGTAAGATAGAATGGGAGCGTGTGCTTGAAGAAGAGAAGAAATTACGCATGGAAGCTATGGAAGCAGAATTGAACAAAGAGGAAGAGGCAACTTTAATTGCTAATGCTTCTAATGGTTCTACTCCAAGTAATAATAATAATGTTAAAGCAAAACTTACATTAAATATTTCCTCTAAACGTCGTTCAACATTAATGGCACCCGTTGAAGAGGAAGATGAAGATGAGGATGATGAAATCGAAGTTAAAAAGAAACGAAGAGTGCTAGTCCCATTAGAATATAGTGATAATGAAGATGATGAAAAGAGAACTGAAGATCGAAAAAAGAAGATTAAAGAATTGGTTAATACTATTCCTTCAGATAAAGAAGGTCTGTGGAAATGGAATGTTAAATGGGAAGAATTGGATGAGGTAAATTTAAATTTAATTAAATTAATTTATCATCATCATCATCATCATTCAGTAATTGAAAAATGATATTATAACTAATTATTTTTTTTAATCAGACGATCCTTGATAATAAACTACGACCTTTCGTTAGTAAGAAAATTGTGGGATACCTTGGAGTACAAGAAGATGAACTTGTTTCTTTTGTAACGGATCATTTAAGAAATAATAAATCAGCTGCACAATTAACCAAAGAAATGGAAGTGGTATGTTTAATGAAAAGATGAAATGAATTTATTTATGATATTTACATATATTTAGGTATTTTTTATTTATTTAAATCTTTATTATATTTTTAGACGTTAGACGAAGAATCCGAACTTTTTGTAATGAAATTATGGCGTATGTTAATTTATGAAACTGAAAGCAAAGCACGGAAATTGTAAATTAATTAATTACAATCAATTAAGTGTTATTTTTATAAATACCCGTTTTTTAAAAAAAAAAATATTTTAAATTATAAAAATGCAATAATAAAAAGAAATAAAAGAATTTTAAAAGTTTACAAAATGATTTTTTTAATTTCCTTTTTTATCTTCTATCGCACGTGACTTGTCGACTTATAAAGTAATAAAATTTTCGTAGTGACGTGATCGCGATTTATAGAAAACTTTTATTAAATCGTTCACGTAATACTTGTAGTAGTTTTATAATTAAAAATTTTTAAAAAAATGTTAGAAGACATAGAAATGGATATCGAAGAAGAAGGAGAACGGTCACCTTCACCGATAAAATTCTCTTCAAGTGCAAAAGGAAAATCCAAACTAAAATATGAGGGAGTTCCACCAACTGGAAAAGACAATTTGCCTTGGTTGGTTGTTAACAATAATTTTACAGAATATAATAAAAATAATGTCACTTTCGTTCATTACAAAATATTTTAGTTCTGCTATTATAATTATTAAATTATTTTACGCGTCATATCATGCATATATATAAAATAGGGTAGAAAAATATCGTCCTCAGACACTTGGAGAAATTGTTTCACACGAGGATGTGATTTCAACAAGTACATATATATATATATATTTTTTTAATTTCATTTTTTAATTAATTAAAATATAATTTATTAAATAAGTTATTATTATTATTCGTGCTATCATTAAGTTGAAAGATTTATTGAAAAAGATCGAGTTCCACATTTATTGTTTTATGGACCTCCCGGTACAGGAAAAACTACATCAATATTAGCTTTTGCGAGAAAGTTGTATGGACCAGGTTGGAAAAATATGGTTCTGGAAGTAAGTAATAATTATATATTTAAAGAAATATATAGAGATTCAATTAATATAATTTAAAAAATTTCATTTTGAATTAAAGTTAAACGCGTCGGATGATCGAGGTATCAATGTTGTGAGGGAAGAAATTAAAACATATGCAAGTATGCAAAGAATGTTCAGGTATTATAAAGATTATTAATCATTACTAATCGATGACAGTCTTAATAATAATTATAATAATTAAAGATGATAATAACTTATAATTCTATTTAATAGTAATGGATTCAAACTTATTATATTGGATGAAGCTGACTCAATGACGAATGCAGCACAAAACGCGTTAAGACGAAGTATTAATCTTTAATGTTCTTAATGTTGTTGAATGACTTTGAATAATTTCTAAAATATATTAATAATTCGCTAACGATTTCTTTTCCTTTCTCTTCTTATGTTCATCTCTTTTTTAGTTGTTGAAAAATATACCAGGAATGTTCGATTTTGTATTATATGTAATTATATTTCTAAGATCATTCCAGCAGTTCAATCCCGTTGTACAAGGTTTCGATTTTCACCAATAAAAGAAAAGGAAGCAAGATCGCGCATAGAATATATAATTCAATGTGAAAAGTATGTAATTATTAAAGATTTTTATTATGGATTATTGTTAGTGACTCCCGTATTTCTAACTAAATTATGTTTTTTTTGTCAAGTGTAAATATCTCGCCGGATGGAATTTCTGCCTTACAAAGGATTGCTAATGGAGATATGAGAAAAGCTTTAAATGTTTTACAGGCATGTCATGCTGCATATGATTATATTGATGAAACAGTGGTATATAAATGTACTGGAAATCCTGAACCTGGAGATATTAAATATATCGTTAATACGATGCTTAACGATGAATTTACCACAGCATATTCTAGTAAGTGAATATTCAATTCATTACATTATTTTGTGTTCTTTGATTTTAATTATATTCTTTTTTTTTATGATTTTAATTGTTTTCTTAGATGTTCAAAAGTTAAAGCGAGAAAAAGGTCTTGCGCTACAAGATATTGTAACAGAGGTTCATAAATACTTGAATGATTTTGAAATACCACGTAAAGCAATTGTATTTTTGATTGATCAACTCTCTCAAATTCAGTAAATATTTTAATATTTTTTTTAATAATTTGTTATTATTATTTTCTGTTATTATTGCATATTTTATATATTTTGTATATTTTATACATTTCATATATAATAACAATAACCTTGATCTCATTAATTTCAGGTATAATCTTTCTACGGGAGGAACGGAACATGCACAATCAGCTTCCATGGTGGGAACATTTAAAACTGCCTTAGATATGGTAAAAATTCATTTCGTTATTATTATTATTATTATTATTATTTTATTATTATTATTCCATTGAATTTATACTAATAATAAAATATATTTTTTTTAATGTGCGATATCCATATAACATTTATAACATTATAATATTTTATTGTATATATTATTATTCCAGATAAATAAATAAATAAAACTTTTACCATTATATTCTATTATACTTTCCATTATACTGTAAATTCTATTGTGATAATATGAAACCGAACTAATTAAGGTTGTTGGGTTCGGTTTTTTTCGTGGTATCATGTATTCAGGAAATTGTGATAAAACTTTTTAATAGAAATAGTGATTATAAATCTAGTACAGTTAATAGGTAAATGGATAAATGAGATGAAAACTCATTTTATGGGAGAACTTTTTCCCTTCAAATGAGATCCATTTATTTTACTTAGCTGGTTTCTTACTTCAATGAAACATAAATATTAAAGATTTTGGGCATCTGATTTTTTTATGGCATGAAAAAAGAATAAAGATTTGCAATACAAACTCGTGTTTTATTGTTTTTGTATGAAATATGAAAATAGTTTCCACAATTATGAATGGTTTACAATTCCTACCTAAAGCACCTCACAGGCCTGGTTGGGCTTATGAACCTGAGCTGGCTTGCTGGGCTCACCTGAAATGAATTCATAAGCTTAAGGTGAATTTGTGGATTTGTATAGACCTCAGACAGCAAAAACTTGATGAATATTGGTGATGAAATGAAATGGGTAGATTTACTACCATTGTAAAGTCCTCATTCCAGGTTGAACATCATAGTAAAAAATTGCATAAAATCAATGTAAAGTATAAAATTAATATACTATCTTCAGATGATAATAACTTGGCAAATTTTAATACTAGAAAGATAATTAAACCACTATTGCAAAGCTTAAGAGCAGGGCTTTCAATGATCTTAAGAACATCTTAGCAAAAATCACTCCTTGTTATAAATGTACAGTTGCATTGGAAAGTGACACCCGATTTAAAATTGAGGCAAAATTTTATTTATTTTATAAAATCATACATAAAAAATATTTTTATAACAATTAATATTTTGTTGGCCCTCCCTTTTCCTCTAGTACTGCATTGATTCTTCTTGGCATTGAGGCAACAATCTCTTCAAAAATAGAGCAATCCAAATTTTTCCATTCTTTTTTTAATGCAGTTTTAAGTTCATTTATATTTCTTGGAAAGGCCTCAGAGTTCTGAACTTTATCTTTTAATTGCTTCCAAATGTTCTCTATTGGGTTCAGATCTGGAGAATTTGCTGGCCAATCAATAATTGGAATTTTATTTGTCTTAAACCATTCTTTAGTTATTTTTGTGGTATGTATTGGTGCATTATTTTGTTGAAAAACTACAGTCTTCCCTGTTTTCTTATAAACTTTATGCCAAAATAGAATTAAATATGAATTTAGGATCGTAATATAAGTATTTGAATTGATCCTTTCATTTCCTTCTTTGTTTTCATCACAAAAAATTAATGGCCCTTTTATTCCTCCCGCAAAATACCCCCAAACCACATCAGGAAATTTTTCGGGGCGTAAATTTCCTGATGTATAAAGTTTGAACCAGCTTCCAGCTGACACAGGCTCCGCTATTACACATCGCTTACCTGAAATTTCACCTCGATTGAAATTATACAACACAAAAACCTGCTTTGATAAGTGTCTGGTCATCTAAATCCTATCATCCAAAATCACACGACACAAAAACCCTTTATATGATCTAGGTATCGGGCATTAATTTTTGATTTGAATTTTTCTGCATACTTATTGTAAGAGGTAACAAAAATCCCTTACTCAAAATATATGGCTAGATATACTCCCAGCCAGAGTATTCTAATTACATTATTTTGAAATAACAATTATGCATATTCAATGAAAGCTAAAGATTTATTTTTCAACTCTTTTTTGTGCGAAGTGGTAGGAACTTTCATTTTAGCTTCAAACTTCTGCTTGTAATTCAAGAAATCGATTTCATTCATGGTTTCGTGCTCTTTTTTCCAGTAATTTTGGTTATCCCACATTTCAAGAGCAATCTTGAATCTCCATTGATCTAATTTTTCTTGAGACATTTGGAATTTTTGTTGTAAAAGATGAATAAGGATATCTATATCAGATTCATTTTGATAAGATATTCTGAAGATAAAGAAATTAGAGATTCAGATATTTTTTTCTCGGCTGTACCGGCTTCATCAATAGTATTGACATAGCATACATCTTAAGCTGACATTTTTAGCCGCTGTGTGACTGCCTCCGGCAAAAATAAAGCTTTTTCATCAATCGCATTACTAGACGAGTCAGAAATTTCACGCTCAGCATATTCTAAAGTAGTATTGTTAGTAATAGGTATAGAATCGAAAAAGTCCTGAATCTCATCACTTACCTTTGGCTTATATGATGGAAGAATTGGAACTATAGGATAGTATTCAGAATTATCTAACTTCCTAGCTATTACTTCTTCTTAATTATCAAAACCACGACTATTATATGGCTTTCAGTTAATTTGATATGAATATTTCCAAATTCTTTTTTCTTTAGGTCCTACCAATTTTCGTTCGCTTTTTATAGTATAACCACACCAATTACCAACAATTGCATTAATTGCCTTTACAGCTGATTTAAGATCTGGCATTTCTTTTGCATGAGACCTAAAGCCAAAGAGCAATAAAGCTTGACTTCGAATTTTTATAAATTTTTCACGAGATGTTTCAAATGTAACTTTTACCTAATTATCAGAGAGAATGTGCTTATTGTTCATACCTGTAAAACCAAGCGACTGTAAAAGTCCTCGTACAGCTTCCCAATGATTCGCTGAATATGTTTTGCGTAAGTCTTTTGCTACCGAATCCTCAAAATTATCTTTAGCATTATAGCATATATCTTCCCATTGTACAAGATCTTGACCTTTAATTCTTCTATTACATTGTCTTCGTCATAACCTTGCTTGCAAAAATGAGATAAATGCAAGAAATGTTTTCTAGGTTCAGGTGAACTAAAATGTTCTACAAAATCTTTATCGCAGAGTTTATTCTAATCCTCGATACTCATATCATTTCCACTATAAAGATTCCACATATAAAAATGCTTAAGTGTCATAGTATCTACAACTGAACATTCTGAATCGAGTTTAAGAATTTTAGCTTCCTTAGGAGTAAGATTTCGAGAAGTGGCGACTGCCTCAAAATCCGTATGCTTGATAACTGATACTTCAGCCTTAATTTCATTACGAACCTTTTTACAAATCCCTATAACTCCTCAACTCTCATCCATTTTTATTAGTTTGAGACTTGCTTCTGTACTAGCGATAAGGCTACATGAAATCTCGATAAAATTTCTGGCTGAAAGACGTTTCTGATGCTCAACTTCAATAAATGATGTTATAGCAGGAGATTGATCAAGTTTATAGGAAATGCTATCTATATCCCATTCACAATGTCCTTTAATTGCAGTAGGCAAATCGTTGGGCTGGGCAACTGCAAGTTCTATATGAATATTTTCATGGCCTGGTGAACGAGAAAATTCATTGGAAATTTTTTGATAATAAAGAGAAAGTATACGCTTTTTACAATCACGAATTCTGAACATCATCTGGATAAATGCTTCTACATTAACTGGAGTTGCAATATTTGTAATGCCTATAACTATGTCAAAGTGATTAGGTTTCTCGAAAGAAATACCTGCTTCTACTGTATTGATATAAGCTACACAATAAGTTCGCCCCAAACTGTATTAATATCTAAGAAGTCATTTTTTCACTGTTTTCCGTCCATATCTCCATAATAAGCACGAGCTTTAAAAGATAATTTAAAAGCTTTTTCTACTAATGCTCGAGCTATATTAGAACTTGTTATAACAAATGCCACGCGTTTACCTTGCATCAAATACTCAAACCCTATTCGCATAGCTTCAGCTCCAGTATTTGAATCGGGAAGATATTCAATAGTCTTACCTATAAGAGGCTGAAATTTATTATCAATTACTCGGATATTTTCACCGCAATGAGCCTTAAGGAATGTTAGTATACTTTCATTTGCAAATGCATCCATGGCTAAAACGTATTGAGCTGATCTTAATACGTCACACATTGCATTTTCAGATTCTCATGCATTTGAACCGTTATTCATTTGGCGTTGAATTGCATTGACTTCATCTAAAACTACTATAATAAGACAAGATGAGAATTCGATACAAGAAAGGCTCTCTACTTGAACTATAATAACATCCCATTTATCTACAGATAAGTTCTGTTCATCTTGGTAGTTACAGATTTTGAGCCCCGATG